GCGCAAGGGGTGCGGCACGGGCGGGAAGCCGTCTGGGGCCGAGCCTGGGCGCAGGGTCCGAGGTGCGGCCGGGCGGAGGGCTCTGCGGCAGTGCGCGGCCGGCGCGGTATGTGCAGACGCCTGCAGCTCTGCCGCCGCAGCCGCATTGGCGCTGTGAGGGCGGTGGGGACTGAGGAATCTCGGCGCTTGCTCTGCATCCTCCCAGGACACCACAGGGCCCGCTCTGGCTCCCGGTTCCTTCACCCCTGTGCCTGTGCCCGGCCGTTTGTTCGCCAGGTTCTGAGGGTGCCCGCGACCTGGGAGAGGGCAGAGCTCGCTGTGAGGGCCGCTGGGTGGGGGGCTGTCCCGTCACCAGGCGGCTCCCACACAAGGGCCACCTCATGGGTAAAGCTCCTTCTGTTTCTTCTATTTCCCAGGGATTCCTTTGGGCAGAGGAGGTGGGGTGCTGGGGTACACCTGGAGGTGCACAGGAGCACGAAGAGGTGGTGCCCCAAGTCTTATTCAGGGTTTTTTTTTTTTTTCTTTCTTTTTTTGAGACAGGGTCCAGCTCTGCAGTTCAGGCTGGGCTTGAGCTCACTTTGTAGCCCAGGCTGGTCTTGAACTCGAAAAAATCCTCCTGCCTCAACCTCCCAAGGGCTGGAATTACAGGCGTCCGCCACCACACCCAGCTCCAAGTCTTATTCTGCCCCTGTGTCCATTCCCGATGGGGGTGGTGTCAGCAGGCCCCATGGGCAGCTGCTGCCTGTGGCTGAGGCGGACAGGTGTGACGATGCCCCCCATGCATCTGTGCTTCTTCCTGGGGGCTCCCCCGGTGCCACCACACAGAACTCATTGGGAGATGCACCCCACGCCAGGCTGCTCCCCTGCTTCCTCTGTGGGGGGAGCTTCAGATTCCCAACACGGGTAGGTGTTTTTGTAAGTGCTGTATCCAGGTCAGTGTGTCGCATGCTAGGCAGGTGTCCATCCCTTGACCTCCAAGTGTGCTCAGCACACACACCTGTGCCAGGTGCTTCTGGAGATTTTAGCTGTGAACCAGGGTGGCCAGGGAAAGTGAAGAGAGTGATCAACCGCAGGCTTGTGTGTGGACGAATCCAGAGAAGGCTGGCTGCGGCACTGTCCCTGGTACAGCCTTTGTCAGCCCTGGGGCGCAGGGCTCCCCACCTCTGTCCACCCCGAAATGTGAAGAGCGGGGCGCTGGCCGCGTGCCCTGAGGCTGTGTGCACCTGGGGTGTGAGGAAACACACGCAGGACCCCCGTGAGCGCTGAGACGCCAGCCATCTGAAAAGCGAGAATGTGACTGTCACCAAAAGCCAGTTCTGATGCATGGCGGAGCCGCTCCGAACTTCCTTGGTGCCCTTGGGGAGGAAACTGAGTCCAGACTGCAGGTGCTGAGACACCTAGGCAACGTGAGAGCGAGTTATCCTTTCAAGCAGGAAGAGGGCCACAAAGGCGTCAGCCCGAGTGCGAGTCTGGATGCCTCTGACGTGCCTGACACCCTCAGGGTCCGGGCACTGGGCGCTCGTGAGGCTCATCACCATTTTACTCAGAAGTTACTTAGGGGTGGCGCCCTGTCTTCCCGTCCGTTTAGATGGTCAGTGACTCCTCTGCGCTTTCATCATGTAAGAAACGCACAGATAAATTCTTCATTTCACCCGGCTCCCAGCCCGAGGCAGGGAGTGTGGGGGCCTTGCCCTGGGGTGGGCGCCAGGTGGCCGGGGGGTCAGCAGGACTGGCACCATGCGTGGCCTTAAGCTGTCACTTTGCTGTGTGGGGCTGCTGTGGCCTGAGACCTAACAAACAACAGCAAACTACATAGGTCTTTCCTTCCTCCGCTGGGGACACATCCGTGCTGCGCCCCATCTTTGCCCCTCGCATGCTCGTTCTGACCCTCTGCCTGACACGACCAGGAATGCTGCAGGGTCCCAAGGACAGGCAGACCCTCCTCGGCACACGCTCGCCCCACGCTAGCTCCTTCATGTCTAGCATTCCAAGGGGCCCATCCGAGGGGCCACCTCTAGGCCAGGTCCCCTCAGCTGGCTGCCTGCTGCCTTTGGCACTCTTCTGCCCGGTAGGAACATGTCTTACTTATTTGCTGGCCTCAGGAGTGGGCGGGGAATGGAATAGGTGAGCTGCTGTGAGGGCAGCGGAGGGCCCTGAAAAGCCACTAGGGATGAGGTGCCCCTGTCTTCTCAGAGCTGAGCCGCCGGCCGGGTGGCTCACCCTGCCCTCGAGTCTGGGGATGCGTGTGGCTGAGGGCTGGGGTGGGGGGATAAGGGACTGAGAGCCTCTCAAGGTCACAAGAGCCCCCGGAGCCCCGCTGGAGCTGCGGGACCCTGGCACCGGCTCCGGGAGCATGCGGTCGGCACGTGGCAGGGGCCGTGTGTCTGGTGACCACCTGATGTGGTGGGTGCGGGAAAGGGGTTCAGGCCTCTCCTTTGCCACCAGGCCACCCTGGCCCAGGAGCTCCCCTGGCTGCCGGCCCTGCTGAGACCATTCCCATCAGGACACAACACAGAATAAGACCCATGGCACAACCCGTCCGTCCACGCTGCCCCTCAGTGTCCCCAGAGAACAGCTGGGCGCCGCAGCTGGGAGAGCCTGCAGGGCTCACACACATTCGTGCTCGTGTCTGTGGCCTCGGGGATGGGCCAGGGAGAGAGGGATGGAGACGATGAGGCTTATTCTAACCCGCGGGCCGGTCCCTTGGGGTCAGGGGCTGCGCTGCTTCCTGAAACACACTCTCTGCGCGGTGGTGGGGGGATGTCCTCTCTTCTTTCTGGAACGTGAAAGAGGTGAGCCTGTGTCTGGAACCGTGAGAGGTGGAACCGGGGGTGCACACAGGGCACGTGAAGGCCTCACTTGCGTCCCTCCCACCGCCAGCCTGGGCTCTCTGGGCATCTCCAGCGTGGCAAGGGCGTGGGAACGGGTAGTGGCACAGTGGCCCGCGGTTGTGACGGGTGGACACAGCCCCACAAGTGTGTGGTTCCACACGGCCCAGCATCCTGCAAGGCTGGACAGAGCCTGGGCTGCGGGTGAGGAGCCGATTGGCCAGGGAGACCCGGATAGGGGCTCCACAGGAGGAAGCACGTGGCAGGAACAGCTGTCTCACCTTCCTCTTTTTGTTCTCAGCAGCCCGCTCCCTCCCATGGTGTCTCCAGAACCCCCAGCCTCGTGAGCTGAAGAAAAGCCGGCCTTGAAGGAGGTGGATGAGCGGGCAGAAGCTGGAGCTGTGAGGCGGGATGGAGCCCTCGGCCCCCAGGAAAGCTGGCTCTGAGCAGGAGGATGGCTTTGGGGTGCAGCCCAGGAGGGTGGCCGATCTGGCCATGGTGCCCAACCTCCGGCGGAGCAACAGCAGCTTGTGCAAGAGCAGGAGGCTGCAGTGCCCCTTCAGCAGCAGTGAGAAGGTAGGCTTCGCACTGGGGGCCCCGGCCAGCACGCATGGCCACAGAGGTGGCCAGGTGGCTGCCATCCACCAGGTCAGCAGTGACCTCGGGATGGGCATGTTTCCTGTCTAGGCGGAGGGGGACTCTCAACCCCAGGGCTGCAGCCCAGAAACACCCTGGGTCAGGGGACCTGGGGAGAGGGTGGGTACTGGACCTCCTCACCCTCTGTGGACTGCACTGTCACTTCCCCTTGTGGTCTGCTTAGACATGAGCCCACGTCCTGTGTTGCTCAGGATGGGGTGGGGTGGCTCACCTCTCTGCACCCCGCTGCACAGAGATTTCCCATCCTTGTTGCTGTGCCGGCCAGCGCCCTCGGTAGCCTGGGGCGAAAGCACATTCAGATGTTGTAGTGGCTTTGTCTGGCAGGCGGGAAGGGTCTGTAGTTGTCAGACAGCAAGCACCAGAGCAAGGGCCCCCGACCTCACCCTGCACACCCTCCGCCATGCCAGTGTCCTGGGGAAGGTGATGTGAATCTGTAAACTGTAAAGTGCATATTCACATTGGGTCCGAGGAGAAAGACACGTCACGCAGATTCACCCCCTCTCTTGAACCCGCACTGGAGAGCATCCTAGGCGGTCTCACCCGGCTGCTGGGCTGGTCCTTCTGTGGAAGCTTGGCAGTCCTTGGAGGCCTCGGCTGTGCACTTTTGGGGGTTCATGATTTGATGAGCTTGGGACTCCAAGTGTCCTCCCTGCCCACAGCAAGAACATCTGAGTGCGTGGATCCCTGAGAACATCAAGAAGAAAGAGTGCGTATATTTTGTGGAAAGTTCCAAGCTCTCTGATGCTGGGTAAGTGGTATGTTTTGTGTTTAAGGCCTATGACCCTCTTCTCCTGGTCCTGAGTATGTGTCGTAGTTAATTTCCTTGACGCTGGGACACCCAGGTCTGGCCCCACAGTTCATAGGACGAGAGGTTTATCTGGGCTCACGGTGTGAAGAGGTCCAGTCCAGGGTCGGCTGGCTCCAAGGACGGGGCCGTGCAGGGCCCTGGAGGAGGGGGGCTGCTCACTGTACGGTGGACACGAAGCATAGAGAGGAAGGAAGAGCCAGGGAGGGAGATGCACCCCGCCAGGCTGCACCGCAGTGATCCACTTCTTCCAAGCAGCCCCCACCTCCTAACTGCAGGTCAGCAGCTACGAGGCCCACAGCCCACTCACCTTCCCCAGCCCCACCTGTGATCACATGAGGCTTCAGAGGGACATCTAGGTGTAAACTGTAGCAACTGGCCAGACCCCCGCCCCAATCAGGGACTCAGCAGGAGGTAGCACGGAGTACCCCGTGTGTGCTGGGTCCAGGCCTGGAAGCATGGCCAGGGGACCCTGAGGGCCTCCTGGGATACGGGCTGAGCAGTTCCTGCTTCCTGGTTGGGAGATCCAGATGCACCGGGTTTGGGGCCTTGTCCAGGGTCATGATGTGGCTGTGCTGTGGCCGTAGTGGACTCGGTCTGTGGCCAGGCTCCAGCTCAGGCCTTTGGAGCATCTTGTTGATTCGGAAGAGAGAGTCCCTGGGTCCAGGAGCTACAGGGGCCTCAGGGGAAGTCCACCGAGCAGAGCCAGGCCCCTCATGCCACCTTCTGCTCCCCCAGGAACCTGTGGCATGGGTGTGGCTGCCAACACCGTGTCCAAGGCAGCAGTGGCCACGCCGAACGGCTGGACACGGCCCCTCTTGTGCAGCGGCTGAGCCTGGGTATAGTGTACACAGGGGCCTGATTCTGCCCCTGAGACTCAGACTCCCGGGCTGTGCTGCCTGAGGCTGCATCCCTGCGGCCTGACAGCGCTCTGATTCAGGGGCCCTCCCTCCAGACACACCCTCTGTGCTGCTCTGGACGGACCGTCTTCTCCGGACCCTTCTTCCTCCCTGGAAATGCCTGCTTCGCCTCAGGGCCTGTTGTGGACACCACCTCTCGTGTGCCCTTCCTGGACCACACGCCGCACAGGGAGTAGCCGCCCTGGGCATGGCCCCTCTCCTGTCCGCTGGCCGCTGCGGTGTCATTCTGGGGCTCAGGCCTTGTCTCTCCCACTCACTGCTGAGCTCCTTGCGGCTGGGACCAGGCAGCACTGTCTCGTCCCTCCCTGTGCCGGGCAAACAGCTGGCATCCAGCTGTTTACTGCCTGCTGTGGGCAGGAGCCACGTCCTGTGGTGGGAAACAGGAGGCTCACCCTGTGGAACCCACAGGAAGTGATAAGGTGACCCCCGGGCCCTGTGCTCTGCCCAGGCCTGGTCGCTGCCATCACCCTGTGCGCTGAGGTTTCGGGCCTCATGCTCTGGCCCGGCTGCTCAGATACGAGGCTCAAGCCTCATTGCCCGCTGCAGGCGACAGGAGCAGGTCTGGGAGGGAGAGTGTCGTGGTTCGTATCTGGTCCCCCAAAGCCTCACGTGCTCATGGTGGCTTTTGAAGACTGACTGGGTCACGGCGGTGCTGTACTATGATGCCTTCAGAGCAAATGTGCTGCTAGGAGTTGAGGTCTGGCCCAAAGAGGTGGTCGTGGGGTGTGGCCTGGAAGGGGTCTGCTCCCTCCCTGGCTCCTCCCTTCTCTCCACTTCCTGTCCGCCATGCCCTGAGCAGCTGTCCTCCAGCAGGCCCCTCTGCTGGGTTGCCGTGGAGACTGAAACCTGAGCCCAAATAAACCTCCCCTTCCTTCGGCTGTGGGTGTCGGGTTCTGTGTCCCAGTGACTAGGACGGAGCGGGAGGGGCCGCCAGGTTGGTGTCCTTAGTACGCCTGGTGCACGGCCTGTTTCCAGGTCCCAGCTGCTGGTTTTGAGAGCACCTCCATGTCACAGATCCCCAGCCCCAGATTTGGCCAGGTCTCGGGTGGGAAAGGCTTGAAAATAATAAGACAAAGCAAAGCACCTGTCTTGAACACGCACAGGCTTTCTTTCGCGCCATCGTTCCCTGAGCAGTGAGTGTAACGGCGGCTCACCAGCACTCACACTGTGGCCGGCGTGACTGTCACAGGAGGGCGCAGGGTCGTGGGGAGGCTGCACAATTCTGTGGAAGGGACCTGGCACCAGCAGCTTTTGGCACCTGTGGCGTTCTGTGGTGTCATTTCCTATGGTATCAAGGGACAGCTGTGCAGAAAAGGACAAGGGACCCCAGGTGGGAAGACGGGGCCCTGCATCTGTACACACCCGGAAGAGGTGCAGGGCCTGAAGTCTGTTGCGGCTGGGCCCTGGGCACGTCCTGCGTGCTGGCTGCACAGCTGCATGTGGTGGGGAGGTCCCAGAAAGGGACGCTGTGTGGGGTCAATGCAGACCGTGTAACCTTCCCCACAGGACCCTGGTGCACTCACGGCTGAGGCTGTGATGACAGAGCTCCCTCCAAGTGGGGATGAGGGTGGCAGCTTCCCTCGCGAGAGCCCAGCGCCCCTGCCCAGCGGCTCCCAGCAGGAGGCAGGCTCAGCGCGAACCACGTGTGGGAACAGGTTGGGCTTCGAGAGGCACCCTCATGTGCTGGTGCGGGGAGCCCTGGTCCCAAACGCCAGCCTGCGTGGCCCAGGCCTGCTGTGGGAACCGGGGTCTTCCCGGATGTCACCGCCTGACAGCCACTCACTGCTGTCCGTGGGAAGACAGGACCAGAGTGCGTGGTGAACGCTCTTTCCCACCGGGCACAGCTGTGGACACAGAGGAGCCCGTTCCCCTGCCGCGTTCTCACACAGCGCTTCAGACCCTTCCTGCGGTCCCCGGGCTGGGGCCCTCCCTCCCCTGACTCCACCCATCTTGTTAGTTCTGCGTCCTGACGACCACCCTCTGTGTGGCATGGAAGTGTCCCACACCCACTGCCAACCCTGCCACGCTGGCCAGACCCCGTCCGGCTGTCTCGCCACCTCTCTCCCCTCACCTGTGGGCACGAGCTAGCAGTGGAGGCTCCAAAGGTCCTCAGGAGCAGGAGTAGGACAGGTGCGCTCAGTGAACCCAGGTGGCCCCGGGCGGGAGCTGGGGACCCAGGTGCTGTCATTCTCTGCTTCCTGCCTATGTAGGTTAAGTTATTTTTGGAGCAGGAGCTCTGACTGTTTCGCTTCTGGGTCAGCGGCCCTGTGCGGCTTCCTGTTGTGTGAGGATCCAGGACGCTGTGGAGATGTCTGATCTCACCTCGTTAGAGGCGACAGTTCAAAGAGAAGAGCAAAGTTGGTAGCACGTTACCTGATAACCGTTAGAAATCTAAGCCAAAATTTGGAGCAGCATTGGCCCAAAATACAAGAGCTTGGGCCACCCGTAACCCTGGCATTCTAGGAGGCTGAGCCAGGGAGATCCCAAGTTTGAGCTCAGCTTGGGGAGTTTAGCATCTTAGTGAGGTCTGGTCAAAGTAAAAAGTAAAAAAGGGCTGAGGATGAAGCTCTGTGCAAGGGTCTGGGTTCTGTGCTAGTATGAAAAAATGCAGACGTTACCAGAGCCTTGGTCCTTGTCCAGTGAGGCCCTGGCCCTTACCCAGTCCCCGCCTGTGCGGTGAGGCCACACAGGCATTCCCTGCAAGCCCGAAAGCTCCTCAGTGTGCGCTGGGGCCGGGCCGGGGGTGCGTTGTTTTTACCATGTTTAAAATTTTTATTTTTGTTAGTCCACGTTTGCAGTTCGTAATGACTGCAGCCATCAAGGGGCACGTGTACATGACTCATCCTAACTCCTTCTGTCTCCCCTCCCTCTCCTCCCTGCACCCCTTGGTCCCCTGGCCATCTGCAGAGGACCTGTCTCCCTGCGTCCTGTTATCTATCTTCCCCTGTTTTAATGATGGAGGACCAAGACTCAGGAACACCCACAACCCTGCAGCTGACCGGGGCCAGAGAAACCCAAGTTCCGCCCCTCGAAGCCCCATGGTCTCCCCTCTAGACCGTCCGGGTCCGGGTTCGTCTGGGTTTAGACGTTCTCCTTCATCTCTTCTCTGCTTAGTCTTGTAGGTCATTTGTTATCGGCAAAAAGTAGTCACCTACGAAATGAGGATTCTTCATTCAGTAGAGGATAAGGAACACGTGGGTCCGTCTTTCCTTGCTCCTGAAGCCCCATGCGTAGCAGCAAGACGTAAAAAGATTTCAGTCCGCAAAGAGGAAGACAGTGAGGGGGGCTGTGGTGGACAGGCAGGAGCTTCTCCCCAGCAGGGAAGGAGGAAGCAGGCAGCGTCGGCGGTCGGTGTCCTTGTGCACGGACAGGTGCCCCCTGCAGGGCCCTGGAGACTGGGGACCCCTGTGCACGGCCGCAGCCCTGGCCCTTCAGCGCCGAGCCTCCATCATGTGTGTTCAACTTTTTATCTTGAAATCCAGATATAAAGCACGTTTCAAAGATACCGCAAGTAGCACCCCCTAGTGGTTATGTCCTGCACAACCGCACCGTGATGTCAAAGCCAGGCGCTCACCCTCGGCGCAGTGTGTGTGTGCCCAGCTTTGTGTGCTTTCCTCACACGTGTGGATTCGGGCAGCCACTGCCAGCCCCAGGACCCACTACTGCTCCCTCTCCACGAGCAAATCCCCACCTCCTCGTGGTTCCACCGCGCCTCTCCCATCCCTGGGGGTTTGTCACCTTGGGGCTGAAATGCTGTGTGACCTGTGTGCATTTTTGGCTGGTATATTTTTGGTTTGTTTTCTCTTAGTTGCTTTTACGGGGTCATTCTGTGGTTCTCTCCTCTGGTTCACTGGTTGGTCTTTTCTCCTCTCCATTCTGCGGTGGAGCCCATACACTGTTTTTTATAGACGTCGAGTGCTGTGTCTTTCAGCTGTACAGTTTCCTCTGGGGCACCTTCTCTTCCTCTGTTCCTGAGGTGCTTCTAGTTGCTCACAGAGCATGTTGAAGATGACTGCTTTCAGATCTCGGTGTGGTGGTCACTCAGGGTCTTTCCTCTTCTACTTGAGGGTCCCTGGTTCTCTGAGCACTGCTGACTTCCAATGGAGACCTGGACAGTTCAGGTGTTGTGCTGTAAGGCTCTGGGTCTCTGGCCCTAGCAGGTCTTGTGACGTGTTTGAGGGGGCAGGGCCAGCACCCCATTACTGCACACAGGGAGGGGCGAGGTCCCCTCCAGCCTCAGTGGACACGCCATGGTGTGGACTTCTCATCACTGCCAAGCCTGTGGAGTTCCAGGGCCCACTTGGCCCCTGCTGGTGTCCCCTGGCGAGGAGGGTGGGGACTTGTCACTGCTCTGAGTGGCCTCCTGTGACAGGAGCAGGGGGCTCCTCATCCCCTCTGGCGACATCTGTGTCCTCACAGGAAGGTGGTGTGCGAGTGTGGCTACACCCGTGAGCAGCACCTGGAGGAGGCCACCAAGCCCCACGCCTTCCAGGGCAAGGAGTGGGACCCGAAGAAGCATGTGCAGGAGATGCCGACTGACGCCTTTGGCGACATCGTCTTTGCGGGCCTGGGCCAGAAAGTGGGGAAGGTTGGTCCCTTTGCGCCGTGGTGCGTGTGGGGGTGGAGCTGGGTGGCTCTGGGCAGATTTCCTGGGGAGGGGAGGCTGGTGGGAAGCCAGCTGCACGGACCCCAGTCGTGTTAGGGACGGAGTGGGCGTCCTGGGCCTCAGGGCTCCTGCTATCTGCCGAGTGGGGCTGGGACTTGTGGAGCTCCTCAGGGAGTGTGGCTGGGGGTGTGGGTGGGCTCTGGCAGTGGGGATGGGGTGCAGTGTCACTTATTTCCCTGCTGGGTTCTGGAGCCCCTGAGCCTCCGAGTAGCTCTGCGGGACCCTTTCCCTCAGCCCCTGAGTGTCCCTTGTGGTGGTGAGCACTTGGCCAAAGAGGTCACGCACGGCCTTTCGGGCTGTGGGCGGCGCAGTCCCTGCTAGCTCACAGGGCAGCAGCCCCCGTGGGCCTGACTAGACCCTCACCGGCACTGCAGGGCCTGCGTGCTGGGGGATGCCTGCGGCCTCCTGGGCCCCGCCATCTCCTTTCTGCTCCTCACGGCCCATCTTGGGGGCCCCTGGCCAGGGAGCTGGTAACCAAGGCAGGAGAAGTTCCCTGTGGACTCCTAGGATCTGTGGAGTCGGAGATCCCCAGCAGGGATGGCCGAGGAGGGCGGGGCAGGATGAGAGGCAGAGGAGGCTGGAGCCCAGCTGGCCCAGGGGCAGTGACCCGGGGACCCAGGAGAAGGACATTCAGTGCAGGGCTGGGTCGGGTGGGCAGGAAGTGGGATCAGGACTCGGGGTGTGCACGGGGCACCCCACAGCAGGGGCCTAAGGAGATGAGGGGTGCGGCCACACCTCTCCCCTTGCTCTCCCCGCTCTCCTGCAGTACGTCCGAGTGTCCCAGGACACGCCCTCCAGCATGATCTACCACCTCATGACTCAGCACTGGGGCCTGGATGTCCCCAACCTCCTCATCTCGGTGACTGGCGGGGCCAAGAACTTCAACATGAAGCTGAGGCTCAAGAGCATCTTCCGGAGAGGCCTCGTCAAGGTGGCCCAGACCACAGGTGGGCACCGGGCGCTGCCTGCAGGTGATGGGCACCAGTTGGGCCGAGTGAGTGAAGCCAGGGGGTCAGGGCTGCAGGGACCAGAAGAACCTTGGAGAAGCGGAGCCCAAGTCCCAGCCTGGCTCAGAACCTGGGCGCCCACCCCTGAGCTGCCCATGGCTGTTCCTGTGACACCCAGCTGCTGGTCAGCTAGCCCAAGGGTGCGGAGCTGGCTCTGGCCTGAGCATCACAGCGGCCATGAGGGCCAGTGGGGGCCCAAGACGGTTGGGCTGGCCTTGGGGACACCAGTGACTCTGTCAGCTGAACTCTCTGCACCAGGGCAGGAGGATTGTCGTCCCTTCCCTGGGGCACCTGCCTCCTTAATGTTGGATAACTTCCTGAGGTCACGCCTTGAGTGACAGCCACGAAGGGCCCAAGGCCATGTGGGTGTGTGAAACCCACGCGCCTGGCCACACTGGGGTCCAGGGAGGCTGCTGTCCTCCAGCTAATGGGGCGGCCTGGCAGGGTATACACAGCGGCCCCCAGCTGGCTGTGCAGGGCTGACGGCTCCCGCGGGCCCGGGTCTCGAGGCCCTTCCTGGGCTCTGGCTTCGTTCAGGGCTCAGCGGCCTCCCCAGGGCTGGCCGTGCGGAATCTGAGTCGCACGCGGCGTGCATGCCCTGGTCCTCCGTGGCCTGTGTCAGCCTGCGAGTCTCACGTTTCCCGGGCTGCACCCTCTCCCTCCAGCCCTGCTCACAGAGGGACCAGACCTTTCCTCCACCCGGTCAGGTGGGGCGTGGCTTAGTGCTGCTGACCTTCCGCCAGGTGGCTCACAGCCCTGGCATCTTCTTTGCCTCCTCTTCACCCAGGGTCTTTTTCCCTCCCTCCTTCCCTTCCTTCCTTCCTTCCTTCCCTTCCTTCCTTCCTTCCTTCCTTCCTTCCTTCCTTCCTTCCTTCCTTCCCTTCCTTCCTTC